TAATGAGAAGATAATTATTTTTCTCGATTTCTCCCTAACATGGGTTATACCAACTAAGCCCCAGATTCCTTGTGATGTGCCAATTAGAAAAGGTTGGGTTATTCTTCTGAAATATAAAAAAAAATTATAAAACTTTATTTTATCTTAACACTTTATTTTAAGGGTTTTTGATGGAGAAAGACCACCAGTTGGTTTAAAGGCTTCTCTGGCAGGTTGTAGGGATATCTTACAACAACAACAAAAAGGCATATCTTACTAAAAGGATGACCAAATGTGTTAAAAGGATTTACTGATATTAATTTCAGAGTCTTATTTATTAAAAGTGGGATGCCGCTGAACTAAAGGGGATGCAAGGAAAAAGACGAGAGGGAGGTTTCTGTGAAAGAATGAATGAATTCGGGTCTAGGATGAACCTTATAATTACCCTTTCCAGTCCCAAGGTACCTCTTCCTTCCCCATATGACGTCACATGAATAGGAAGTGTGACACTGAACACTGCACAAAGGACTTGTTGGCAGCTTTTTGCAAAGCCTGCACTAGAAGCCCAAAAAAGCGGCTAAAGTCATGAAGAAGGGATCCTTCGCACATGTGTCGTTACCATCTCAACAGTATCAAAACATATGGGATTAAAAACATTCTGTCAAGAGCAGAACAGCAGATCAGAATATGCTCAGGTTTTCTAGGTTGGGGGTGGGTGGGATGCGAGTGGGGAATGACAGATGGCTTCAATAACATCTCACTGAAGTTACTGGAACAAAGCAGATCTTCAGAACCTAGGAATTACATTTCTCGTCCTCAGCTCCTGTCTTAGCTTGAATACATCTCCATTCCCTCCTATGTCCATGGCTGGAACATTTACACGGCCCAGTCATTAAACAGAGCAAAGACAACGCATTTGCAGAGAAGGTAAAAAGATGGGCCTTTGTCTTAAAAAGTTGATCTTTTTCAGACCTGAAATTTATTATTTTTTTTAATCCCACCATGATGTGTCATGATACGAAAGATGAAGGAAAAACACCTAACAGTCTAGATTCGAGATCCTGATGTACCAACTAAATTCCTGATGCTACTGTGTTGAAAGTTAGCCTTGTTTCATGGCGAAATTTTATCGTATCAACTAGTGTTAGGGTGTCATTGCAGGAAACTGCATATATAGGGAGGAAGGGCTATGGGCCCGAGGTCCAAATGAAGGCTCAGTAATGCAACTCTTGCCCATCCAGCTGTTTCATCCTGTTAAGGCATGTCCTTAGGTGACAGCTTAATAGCAGAGTGGGGGGGAGGGGGGGAGGAGTGTGTAAGGGGAAAGAGATCTTAACCAAGCCACATACATGACTAAACAACAATTGTATCTCTTTCTCATTTTGTACACAGTTTTTTTTTATTATTATTTTTAACTGGACAATAAGAATACCAACAAATCTCACAGGGCACTTAGAAGAGCCAAAAACAGACAAACAAGGCGGGGGGAGAGATACTTAGGACACGTGAGGTTTAGTAGTCTGGCATTTTAATCTCGGTCCTGAGAATAATTCCTATGTCCTTTCTATTTTCAAATTTGGGGTCACTTAGAATTCCCTGACTCTTCCCTCAGGTCTCAGCTGTTGCTTTCACTTACACATCATGAAACCGAGACTGAATTCTCATTTGCATTCATTAATTACCCAGACTGTATTATATAACAGAATGCTTTGATAGTATCACCAAGAGGTGGCCAAAGTCACTTTGGTGTAAAAGTGATTTGCTTCTTGTAGAAATTTAGTTACTTACCCATCTGATCGGCAATGCTATCCTCACTTCTTTGCCAGCTGGGTGTGGATTTTCCGCTGCCACCAATGTCTGACTGGGTGTTCTGCCTGTCAATGATGGAGGCTGGGGATCGGCGGCTTACTCCAAACCTGTGGTGATTTCCCCAAACAAGAGCAAAGACAACATCAGAAACCTCATCCGTAAGGAGAAGGCAGTGAACTAAACTCTAATAACAGGAACGACTAGTTTCGCTTACATGCCTGCACTTGTGAGCTCATCCTTGTGCTCGTGTGCATGGCTGCTGGAACTCTGTTCTGATCAAAATGCACCACTCTGTTCAGAAAGGTACGTAGGCCAAATACATCAACTGTAAACAAGGCCAGGAGCCATTAGGACTCAGCTAACCTATGATATAGAGAGTAAGAAACCACCATCTTCTAGCCCTTGTGTAGCCAAGCTCAGACCGTCACTCGGCCAAAGAAAAAATGTCACCATCCTAATGCTCCATGTGTATCTTCCAGTTGGTACATGTCAGAGGTTTCCTTTAACTCGGTAATCATCTAACTCACTAAGTCATTCATTCTTGGAACAAGTATTTTCTGAGCATTTGCTCTCAGGTCTGAAAGACAAAGACTGCTCTCACGTACATTACACAGAGACTTTCAAAATGTATAAATTTTAAGTTGCCTTTGGGAAGGGCAAATTAGAAGTAGGTAAGCCAGTATACAGAAAGGCAAATGTCTATTGCTGGAAAGAATATTTAGCTGATTAATGAGCCGGTGTTCTTTTCCCTGTGTAGAATAATAAGATAATATATGCCTAATTAAAGCATGGGCCTTAATGAGCAGTATCAGCAGAGTAAATACTGACTGAACCCAGGAAAAAGGGCCAGAGTATAAAATTCAAACATTCATGTGGAAGTTTACAAATTTGCGTATTGTTACTAATGAATTTACAAGTAATCCATACAATAAAGACTAGCCAGGGTCTGAACTGATTGATGCTTATGACAGATTTCTTATCTGCGACAAAGTGATCAAGGCACAGGGAGAACCAGCCTGGGGCTGGTGTATGAAAAAGGGCAGGTTAGAGGGAGGACCTGGAGCCGAGTTCCAGCTCCCTCACCCCGAGTCATTCAAGTTCCAGCGCCATTTCTTTATTTGTAAAATGGCAATTCCAGTATGTGAATCTAGGGAGAAAAATCTACATGAAAACGTTTGCAAAGTAGAGAAGGCTATTGAATACTTTAGTAAAACTCCTGCTATAATACCTCCTTCATCACTTTTGCACAAATGACAATCGTTTACAAGCTCAATGACAAGCCTCACTAAGCAAAGTTACCTCCATTACTAAAAATGAAAACCTTGGTTTATGAAAACCCCAGTGAAAGTGCTCTTACACCAAAAAAAACCCCAAAAGGATTCACTAATTATGATCTTTGCCATCTCCTCCCTAAGTAGGGTCCTTGTTTAGTTTAGAACAGTGAATATCCTTGAACTGGCCCTACGATCCTATTCTAAATTTGCACTAAATTAAGACTTTTTCCAAAATGCACAGAGATAAAAGCGAGAATTGGATTCTAATATTGGTTTTAATTTTTGGTCGCACTGGAGACTAAAGACAACTTTTTAAACCTCTGAATTTAAAGCCGAACACTTTCCTGGCTGTCTGGTTTTAAACATACGATAAAGTAAGACTGTCTTGAAATTCTGCCTTGAAAAAATATTTTCATCCCATGGACTTCTAATTTCAGTTCCCACACACACCCCTCATTTATCGTGTGCCAGGCAGGGTCTTAAGGATACAGACATCCCATCCTTGAGAAGCTCCGACAAAACCTGTTCTAATTTCACATTGTGCCTCTTTTTGAAGAGCTTAATTGTGCCTTTGCTTGGAGGAACACTTAACAGTGTAAGAGTCACAGTCCAGATTTGAAGGAGATTTTAAGCAATCACTTAGCTGACACATGAAACAATCAGTGACCAAGAAATGTCTACCTCAGGAGCCAGTCCACTGCTCTCTACTGTAGGCTGGCAGCTTTGAAATATCTCCCTCCTAATGATCAGGAAACTTCTCTAAAACTTTCATTTATTGGTCTCAGTAGCCCTCACAGACAAATTTAATCCCTCATCTAAGAGTGATGGAAGAAAGCTGTGGTGGCCCCCTGGCCTCCCCGATTCTCATCCTCAGGCTGTACATCCTCAGGTATGGTTCTCACACCATGGTCTCCAGACTCTCCTCATGGACCCAGTCCATCCCTCCCACTGGACATACCCTGCCTCATCAATATCCCTCCAAGCATGTGGCCCTGCAATAAATCTCCCAGGATGGCAAAACAGACCCTATGTCTTTTCAACAATGTTTCTTTATAACTACCTTTCATTCATCCTAACGTGTGCAGGTGCCTTTTCTCTGCCCCCTCAAGTGGAGCAGGCATGATTACCTGCGCTGTTCAATTTCACCTCTCCACTGATCTGGATGGTCTCAGTCCCTTCACTGGGGAGTGGGCAGGCACACATACCTGTGCAGACACTGAGCCCACCAATGTGGGGAGCGGACTACAAAGGAGCAGGTTACGTTTATGGGTAATGAGTGTCTTCTGACCTATTGTGATCTCATGCTTTTCAGCTTTGTGAAGCTTAACATTAGTGAGTTTGCAGCAGACTGTATACACCCCTGCTTTATTATCAACTTGTACATTCCTATTTTTTTTTACTGGGCTAAGCTGTAGCGTAGATGGAACATTTTCCCTTTGGTAAGGGAAATGTTAAGATCAAACCTGGTCCAGGAGCAACAGAGGTGAACCACACAGTGAACCAGTGCCTCTGGCATCACTGACAGAGGCAAAAACTGCTTGAGATCTAGAGAAAAACACTGTATTGTAGGGGCTCAAAAGGGGTCACCCCAAGATGTGCCTCTGTGGTCTGTGGATTATTTTTGAGCCAAAGGCAACCGAGACCCTTTGGGCTGAAGAGTAAATTCTGTCCCCCTCCTTAACTACCTAGAAGAATTTAAATTAGGGGCCTTGCCCATAATGTGAGATTATTAGAGATAACTTTTCATGACCTGTCTATAGGACAGGGCAAATGTCTAATTACCGAAGATCTGATCTTTTTATCATCCTGAGAATGACCTTTCTCCCCTGTGAAGCCCCAAGGTGCCTTACTTAATCCAGCTCAGAATGTCATATATACACCATTTCCCCTTCTGTCCCTGAACCTCTCGTGTATGTAAGGTCTCTGGCTCTCTCATGTATGTGGGGGTTCCCATATGTACCTATGTAGTTAAAATTGGTTATTTTCTCTTGTTAATCTGCCTCATGCAGATTTATTAAACCAATGAAAGAACCTTGAAGGGTAGAAGAAAGTTTCTTCCTCCTTCACAGTATTGTCATCATCTTGTAAAATGTTATTCCATGTTAAAAAGGATGTTACACAGTATCGTAAACAGTCACTGGGCAACCTCACAAACAATGGAGAAAACCTTCAATACCACCTAGGGTAGGGTTAGTATTAAACATCAAGTTGAATAATTACCTCATTAAAATTACTGTGCACATGGGGGCACTGGAACTGTGTTTCGAGCGTTAACAGTCACCAAAACATTAATGTTTCAACTTACATTTTTGGTATGCATTTACAGTATATCATAGTCAGAAGAAAACAATGCTTTTTTTTGTTATGGTTGTTAGCTCATTTATATTTTATTGCTGTACTAACATTGAAATTGCAGTGAATTCTTACTTTTGATGTCAAACCAGGCTATTTAAAATCTACTAATTAAAACAAGAAATAATTAGTTGGGCTTGTGGTGTGGAATAATAATACTTAACTCATAAAACCTTTTGCAGGAACTCATGAATAAGAGCTAAACATCTTTTTCTAATTGTCACTGAAGTAATTAAAATAAGACACGTGCATTTTATTCTGCCACCAAGAAGATCCTGGGGGAGATACTGAGGATGGGAGGAAGGTGGGGAGCATATTTTATAGTAGTTTTATTACCTACTTTCTGCTAACATAAACATTTAGCAACAATAACAAAAAAAAAATCATACTTAATAGCTGTAGAAACCAACAAAACACGGTAGGATAAAAAATACCAACTATGAAGGTATTCCTAGTAAGCATGATTGTTTTGTAACATGATAGACTCTCAAGAAAGTAAACAAACCACGTGTACATTTGTTAAAATATATATTTGGGGAAAACTTAGAATAGAAACACCAGTTTTTATGAACTCCTTACATTTGATTATCAAGTGATTTCAAGTTCTTTATCAAGCTTCCCCAGAGGGATATCCCAGCAGGAAGTCACCGTTGGCTCCTTTACCTTTCCTCTGGGCAAAGATGGTTTATGTGTGCCATGTAATGTTTTGCTGCTAATTACTTCCCAGCTTCAGACAGTCCAATTATTTTCCCGTTTTAGTAGTTCTAAAATCATGTACATTTAGCTTTTTACTTTGTAAGTCTTGTCAGAAGCAAATAGTTACTTTTTGGTGTTTAGTGTTTTCAAAAAAGATGAAAAATAAAAACAAAACCAACCCACAGTCTGAAATCACAGACTTTCAAAGTGTGAAAAAAAAAAAATTTTAAGCTTTGGCTATGATGATCATTTCCACTGCAAAACAAACTCCAACCGGTGTGAGCAGTGTACTACTGAGTTCACTTAGGAGGAAATATTAAGAAGTGACAAACTCTTTACCATGAAACTAGACAATATAGATCATGGAGAAATGGATGTAATTTGATTTCTCTGCCATTGAGTCCTTAGAGACTAGAGAATGATATACATCCTAAGAAGTGGTTTGAACCAGCCATTAAAACATTTTTCTATCTGTAATATTAACCACATTTTCCCTTTTGTAAATTGATCAAGTCTGGCTGAATGAAACTCATTTTACACGTCTGAATTACAGCGGAAAGACAGCCGTGTCAAGTGGGTGTGATGAAGCAAACAGCACACCTACCCTTCAGGCATGGATTTCTGCCTGTAAGTGCCCCCACCAGAGCCAGTGTCACTGGATGAAGAGAGGTTGCTGGGGGAGTTACGACACTGCTGGGATCTTGCTAAAGCCATGGATGAGACCGTCACATAGATGTCCGAACCAGGAGACAGCCTGCATATATAAACCAAAAACATGAAGTCAACAATTCAAAGGGAAAATCCCAAGGCATGCATGATGGATAATACCATATAAATGCGACAAAGGCAGCAACTTCATGGAGATAGTGAAAATGAAGCCAGCGGGAAGCCTACAAAAGAAACTTCCCCATAAAACTACTCTCCAAGGGAATAGCTGGAAAAGTGCCTTGAAGGGTGAGTGTGTGTGTGTGTGTGTGTGGGGGGGGGGGTCGTCAAAAAATAACAAGGGGAAAAAAAACATGTATGTTTCCAAAAGCTGCCAGAATTCAATGGGCTGAATTGCTTATGCAGTTTCTTAGTATGGCAGTGTAGAGGATAATTGAACCTCAGTGGCATTTACACAGCCATTTTTCACACCGATTCTCCCAGAGTATATGACCTCAGTGAGATAGGTACACTCTTTGTACGCTTCTCTGTTTTCCAATTTTATTACTAAGAATCTGAAATATTCAGATTTTGCTATTTAGTATTTATGCATTCCGGTGATAGTAGCATCACCATATGAAACCTTCCATGAAAAAAAAAATGCCTAGAACTGCAGTTGTTGGATTTAATTGGAATTACTGGATTTATATAATATCACAGTAGAGGTGTGCTCTATACAGCCACCTATTAAACGGATTTCCAAGGCCATGAACCTTCCACCTTCCTAATGGCCCTCGAGATTGAAACCAGAGCTCTGTAGTCAGGGCAGACACGTATTTCTTCCCTCTACCTCCTCTACTCTAATAGGCAGTGAGGTAGCCACTGGAATATCAACGTGATGCTGACAGCTGTGACTAGGTGTAAACTAAGCCTTCATAACAATGATCAGAAGTGAATGCTGGCACACATCATTTGACTCTTGCAAAAGGGCAGGTCATGTCCCTTCTATAGCCGAGGAAGTGGAATTGAAGTCATTCATTCGATAAGCCAGGCCTCTTCATTCGAAGTCCTGTGCAATCTATGCCAAATTACTGCTGTCCCATAGAGAAGGCTGGGTTTTCTTCATAGGACAGCTGGCAATGGGTCTGCAAAATGGTCAGGTGATTTTGCAGGTAAAGGTATCTTTTACTCAAGCCAAAGTTCTGAAAGCCTTGAGACAGAGCCCAATTCACTGAAATATGGCAGGTCCCTACAATGAACCTGTGAACTTCCTGCAGGAGGGCAGGATGGGGTTTCAGGTACAAGAGGTTGACAGAAGGCATCACAGGATCACACTGAGACGCTTTTCTAACAGAAAAAGAATAAGGATAGATACTGAAGTGTATGACTTCCAAATGCATCTATGCCCAAAGGGCAGAGCTGGCTTGAGAGCCAGCTCTCTCTTCACAGCAATAAACCTGTTATCTCCAGCTGTCTTCTAGGCATCTCCATGGAACACCCTCACCAGCAATTCAAATCAAGCCGCCTAAAGACGCACTGATTTTTCCCACCCCCCATCCCCTAAACCTGTCCCCCCCATATCTGTTATTCCAAGTGAAATATTTTGAAGTCATTCTCCCCCCGCACCCTTTCCTCATTTTCCACAGTCAATGGGTCTAATTAAGTTCAACTATTTACTGAGCACAAACTGTGTGTGAGGCACCCTGGGTGCTAGTCTTGAAAACACAAAGATACAGAAGGTAACTGGTCTCCAACCTGATGACTGTCCGTTCAGCTCCCCCATCTCTAGCCTGAGTCAGTGTGACAGTGTTCTAACTGGTCTTCCAGCTTCCAGGCTCTGTCCACCCCATACCTCCAAGCACCCCAACTATTCCGAGTCATCTAACTGCTAATAGCCTCCATAGCTTCCCTTTACCTATTCGTACAGGAGAGAGGGCCAAATCCCCAGCACCCTATGCCAGGCTTTGGCCCACCTCTCCCAAGTCCAGTCTCATCTTCACGCTCCTTGCCCGCCTCCACGTACTGTACAATCTGGTCATATTCAGTGGCTCAGATCTCAGACTCACCCGCCATATTCCTACCTCTTCTCATCTTGTCCTCTCTGCCGGAATGCCTTCCCCTTTTTTCACTCGCATAAAATCCTTTTCCTCCAAGGCCTAATTCCAAAAGCATACCTCTGAATCCATAGAATTAACCTCTGAATCCACAGATTCATTAGAACCTCAAGCCCCACAGCTGTCTGCTCTTTGCACCATTATAGCACACCCGAAGGAATGGTGAGTTTCACATGTGTCTGTCCTGCCAACTAGATTCTGTCCTTAAGGGGTAGCACTGAGCCTCACTTATCCTTATATCTCTGGTTGCTTAATATTACGTTTGAAGGAGGATCCCCATCAGCGGTGTGAAAAACGAAGAACAGTAGGTGGTACAAGGGCCCACAGTTACATCAGGTGCCCCAAGCCAGGGGTTCTCAACCACGGTGTATCTATAGCAGTTGAAAAATGGTTGCAAATATAATCAAGTGCCAAAATTTGTGAATAATTTTCTAAAAACCATAACCCATTCCAAGTGAATATGCTTTTCTTAAATGCAAGAAAAGGGGATGATGGAATTATGCCCAGTCACCCTTGTGCATATCATCCATCTGCTATATAAAGGCAAGAGAACTTACTGACAATGCCTACTCTACATCACGTGACATGGGACAAGGAAGGAGACCTAGATGCTCGGTCCTTGGGCAATGTGATGAGAAGCTAGGAAGAGGTGGAATTCCTAAGGCCCTCCTGTTAACATCACCAATCTGGTTATTGCCACGCAGACGCAGAGATATGCAGGCTGACACACAGCTGGCATCCTCACCAGGATGTCAGGCTCAGGAGTGGGATGTGAGGGGGGGTCACGGTGGGGGTCACAGACTAGTGTGGTCACGGAACACTAGTTCATCCCTCCTTTGGGTAATGTGCTTTGATACAAGAAAGATCAAGACATTTATCTGGGCACCATAAAATAGACATGTCTTTATTCTTTTCCATGAAGACATCTCCCAACTATCTCACTATTTATTCTGGAATAATTGGAAGGGGACCGGAGTTGCGGGGGGATGGGAGGAGTAGGGTACAAAGAAGAAAACTAAGGATTAAGGAGCGGCACAAACCCAAATGTAACAAGTTTGGCTTTTATATGCACCTAATGCAGAGAAACTTCCAGTGCAGTTTCATTCTGTAGCTGCGTTGATGTTCTTACTGCACAGAGCAGGGGGTGTTATAGGAAGATTAAAAAAAAAAAAAAAAAGTGACAGCAGAAGGTTAACATGGTTGGGGCCTAATGATTTTTAAACTCTCTTTGGGGTAAGCAAGTAATGAAACTAATTATATTTATGGTTTATGTTAAAATGTTTATGCTTCTATGAGGAAGTGACAACATGATTCCATAGGGAAAGTCAAGATGCAACTTTTATATCTGTATTTTCAGTTTGCTTTTCCTACCCTGCTCTCCAAAACTTACATTAAGCTAAAATATCTCATGCTCGTTCTCAACCTCAGCTCTTTTATTTGGCAAGTGCATCAGAAAATTCCACTTGGTTACTGGAGCTAACCCAAAGTGAAAAAATAGCGTTTCCAGAAGGCCAGCATTCATTCCCACCCCCTTTTTGCATTTATATAACTCAATAGTGGCTTTGTTTTCTGACTGTTCATACACACAGAACACATATCCAGCAACTGATGAAACGGCACCCAAATGTTTTTATGACTCTAGATGTATGTGTGGTGGGGGGAAAAAAATCAGAATTATCCTTTATTCCGATGACTTACCATTCTTTCCTCATACTCTGAATTTGATACCATCACACAAATATTATTTGAGAACAGACCTAGTTCAGAGAGTGGGAGGTACCGCCAGCCGGCACTGGCAGTCCACTTCCACCAGAGATAGCCTGCAGCTGATGATGACTAGAAGTTGGGCTGGTTCCTGTGTTGCCACTTTCAAAAAGAGTACCCCACAACTTGGCTCCCATGGGAAGAAAGCACACTGGCCTCTTAAATCTCTGTCTTCCCACCCACTCTATTTTAAAGGTTGCTGAGGGCAGTGAAGAGTAAGTGCAAGGGCACAAGTCTTTTCTTCTCTTTTGAGGTACACCCAGATCTTTCTGCTTTCTCTTCCTCTTAACAAGCCCGGGAAACCCTAGATGTTAGCACTCAAATAGGTCAAGTGGATTCAAATTAATACATCTTTCAATTGCTGTGAGACCTCTCAGTTCTGTGGAATAGAAGAAATAATCTTTTTAAAGGAATGCTCTGGTCACTGTCAGGAAGGAAATTTCTAAACCTTTCAGCCTTCATTTCAGTCGATTCTCTTCCTTCCATTTTTATAAATTTAGCCAAGAAATAACTAAATGTTTTTAAACTGATATTAAACGTTCTCTTCTTAAATGTTCCCTCCTAAAATCCCTCTGCAGAAATAAAATACCAGGGCTTTCTGATTGTACGAAGAATGCAGTGACTGAAAAAGTCATCAGCAGCAGCCCGACAGACAATGCTTCCACAGTCTGCAAGACACACACGAGCTTTTCATTTACATGCAGTGCATTTTGTTGCAATGAAAGCAGAGTTGAAGGGGATGGACAGTTAAGAGATGGTCCAGGATCAGTATCAGTTCCTCACTTTTCCAGAAGCATTCTCACACCAGTATGAAAGAGAGCCCTGTTAAAAAAAAAGCCCCAGGTTTCTAATAAAACAGCCCCTGCCCTCTACCTCAGCCTTCCCACGAATCAACTAACAGGTTAACATTAACAGACTCTTATTAAATCGATCTCTTCAGATTGTGACTGATGATAATTTATCAATTTATGGATAAGGAATTCTCAGTATCTGAGTAACTGATGCTAAATGTTTTTTTTTCCTGATAGTTAGGTTGTATAGGTTTCATTACGCTTCCATTTCCTGCTTTTCACTCCAAAGTGACAACACTCAAGTGCAAACAGTGGATGATGGTAAAAACAATTGAGGGGGTTTCAAATAATAGCAATGACTGACAAATTAGATACTTGAGTCCATAATTAAGCACAGCACTTTAGCGCAACTTTGCAATTAAAATACTATTCACCCAAGG